ACTTTCCAATACAGAGCATTGGTGTGACCCGAAGTTACAGGTTAATCTAAGCCCCAACTTAATGAAGATCCGTTACCATAACGCAAGCCTATTTTTCAAACTTTCGTCGTCCGTGGGATTTGAACCCTAGACATGCTACTTGGAGAAGGTGACAACTTGACCACTTCACTAAGCCGCCACACCTCTTGTCAATTTTACTTGATTGGATATATCAGTTATATACTGCATTCTTGAAAGTTTATTTGTCCAATAATAAACTTGCTGATACGTATATAGCGATGGATTAATTAAGCCTTCATTGCAAAGACATTTATAAACTTTAATTTTTCGCAAATTTCTACTTGTGTTTTGTTTTATCCATATTATGGCGTCTATAAGAAAAAAAAAAATTAAAAAATTAACAATTTTTTTTAATAAGAAAAAAAAACCCAAATAATCTTTTAGTTAGAAATGGGTTTTATACGTGTGCATGATTTATCAATCGTGCGCATTTATACGCACAATTTGGAATCATGCACATTTTATTCTATCTAAATTTAGCACACGGGTTACATCTGGCAAAGATTTGAATTTTACTTCTACTTTGTCTTGTGAATTCACTAATTGTTTTGGTCCTTTTATAGCAAGTGCAGTGACAAGTTTTTTGAGTTGTAGTATTTGAAGTAGATATTTTTTAATTATCAAATTTCTTTTAATTAAAGCATAAGTGTGTTACAAGTTATAATAACTATACTAAAAGTCTCATTTTATAATGGCAAATTTAATAAATTTAACTTCGAAGATCTTTATTAAAATTTTCACAAAAATGATAAATTACATATATATAAATTTTTCGCTTTTACATATGTTTGCTATATCGATTTATTATGTTTAATTTCTCTATTATTAAAATTTTCATTTCTACATATTGATAGATTATATAAATATAATTTTTCTATATTAAAATTTGTATCGATAAATTATATAAATTAGAACTAATTTAGTTTTACCTTAATCAATTAATATGAATATAAAAATTTTCGCTTTATTGATTTATTATTAATTTATATATATCAATTAATGGTATTATAATATATAGTTAACGATCTTAAAAAAATCTGGCCTACATCGAAGGGGTCGAAAACGGTTGGCAATCACATAGTCGTGAATTTTTTCTGCCACCACTATGTTATCTAATCTTTGCCTTATAAGTTTAAAACTAATAAACTAAGCAAGTTATTCCTACAAATAAAGATAGTTTATGCTTATTTACTTTTTCAGCTAACAAGCGCTAATAAGAGGTGATACAGCAAATTGAAAATTATACCAAGCTTTTTTTTTTCTTGGTGCACCATTTAGCATGCTATGTGCCAAAATATATTAATGGCATGTTATTAAAAATAATTGCACCAACTACCAACACAGAAAGTAATACTGCAGAAGGCTATATATATAAATTCACGATTGGCAAAGTAGTACTATCAACCCTAAGGTGACATTGAGATTTTGATTAGAAGGATGGCTAAATGCAGTATATCCAGAAGTGGTAAGAGAAGTGATTAACATAGTAAGGTGTGTTGGTAAAAGAATAGCTTTACCAAATATAGAACACTTTTGGCACAAAAAAATGAGGAAAACCAGCTAAAAGAAACCCCAAAGCAAGCAATCTGGTAGTACAAAAATAAAAACAGACTAGAGAGTAATAGTCACACAACCTATATAAGAGTCTATAATGAAACATGGCAAAGGTGTGGATCCCAGATTACTGAATTGTAATAGTAATTAAATGAGATACTTAACTTCTGTCTGAAGAATTCAGACCCCTGTATTATTATACTAATAGGAAGTATTATAGAAGGATTAGTAGTCTAATTTGGTGGTATATGACATTAATGCTTGAAGATCATGAAATAATATCCTGGTGGGTCCTGTACCTGGCTTGAAATACAAACTAGGCTCTTAGAGTAATATCTCTAGAACACCAAACTGGAAGCATCAAAAGTGCCCACTCGAGAGACACCAATTTGAAAGTAGTACAAGAAGCAAATTAGGAGTACTGTAATAAGTAATGAGAGGTAGAAGTTGGTTGGTAGACATTGTACAGTAGTATAAAAATAGGATATATAATAAAAATTAGGTTTGGAAACCATCTAGTGATTTAGTAACTGGTCTACTTATAGAGCAGTTATTAAAGAGATAAAATCTTATATAGCAGGTCACACATAGATACAGATAAACCTCTCTAAATGCACTCCCCTTGGGACCAGTACTAGGTGATGCATTTATAGGGGGTGTGTATTTAGAGATTTATTTCTATAAATGCACTTTCTTAAGATCGAAGTCAGATAATACACTTATAGAAATTAAATTATATATACAACTAGTTGTAAACCCGTGCAATAATGCATGAGAATATATATATATTGTATATAGTTATTTACTTTAAAAAATTAAAAAAAATAAATAATTTCTAGATTTTAAATTTAATGTTTAGTAATATACAGTATATAAAAAAATTTAATATTAATAATCAAATTTATAAGTTTAAAAAATTAATTATATAATTAATAGTTTATTTTTATAAGTTAGTTAAATTTATAAAAACATTATACAGTATATAAATAAATTTTTTTAAATTTTATAATTAATTTAATTATTTTTATAATATTATATAATTTTAGTAAAATATTATAAATTTATTTGTTGCTTCCTATTATATAATATCTTTGTCATCAGTTACATGATATATAATCAGCCAATAAAACATATATAATATTTTATATCCAAATTCTAACTGCTAAACCCTAATTCTAATTACTAAAACTAATTTTAAACCCTAACTAAGCAATTTTTGAATCTGTGCCCAGTTTGTTGTATATCTACTTAAATATAACTAATCAAATCATAAGCTTTATTTTTAAGACTTAAAATTTTATAATTTTTAATAATGATTACTGTAAGAGAAATCTTTGGTAAAAGTTCAAAAAATCCTAGAGAAAAACTAAAATCGTGTGAATTTTGCTCTTTTTAAACTTTGAACGAAGGTTTCTTGACACCTATCTATCAAAATTCGATGAATTTTTTTATTTTAATCCTATGAATCTATAGAATTAAAATAAATTTTTTTACTGAATTTGTATGTATAGTTGTCAAGAAATTTATTAAAAGTTAGAAGGAAATTTAGCACAGTTTTTATTTTATACTTCGAACGTGATTACTTGATACTTACTAATTAAATTCGATCAAAGTTTTTTATTTTAATTCTATAATTCATAGGATTAAAATAAAAAAAATTCATCGGATTTTGGATAGATGTGTTGAGATATCTCGATCAAAGCTAAAGGAAAATTCACTTGATTTTAGCTTTTTTTCTGATATTCAAGGAGTATTTTAAACTTTTACCAAAGATTTCTCAAAAACCATTAGTAGCCTTTTTTATTTTAATTCTCTGAGTGTATAGAATTACCAAATTTGATCAAGTAGTTATTAAAAAATTATTACAGAAATTATAAAAATTTTCAAATCTTGAAAGGATCGATGATCTGATTGGTTATGTTTAGATAGATATTCAACAAACTGGGCACAGATTCAAAAATTGACCTAACGCTAACTAATAGGGATAGAGAAGTCCATCTCGGTCGGTCCCAGTCCCTATTAGACCGATCTTATAATGTTCCAGAATTGGTCTGCATAACGTTAAAATTTGGTTATTAATTAACAGTTAAATTTTTATTCAATTAATAAGTATTAGTAATCGTCAGACCATAATCAGGACTATTCAGGACCGAGGATCAAAATCGGTCTTTACGAAGACCGATCCATCCCCTACTAACTAACTACTAAACCGAATTCTAACATTAACTACTAAACCCTAACCCTAACTAACTACTAAACCAAATTCTAACACTAACCACTAAACTCTAAATATAACTAACTGCTAAAACGAATTCTAATACTAACCCTAAACCCTAGCCCTAACTAATTACTAAACCGAATTCTAATACTAACTACTAAATCTAAACACCGAAAGTGACGAAACGAAAGCAACCAAAAGTGATAAAACGAAGCCTACCAAAAGTGACGCAACAAAACTAAAGACAACACCGAGATTGATACCTAAAATGCAGAATTCACACAACCAACTATCAGCAACAACTTATCACGAATCTCATGAAACCAAAAAAAGAATCCACGGCACAATACCAAAGAAACGAAAACTCACCGAACTTACCGCCTGGAACTAACAACATGAAATCAAAAACTCCAGCAATAACCAAAACAGTTCTCACAAATAACACCACCGAAATCAACGAAATCACGCTAACGAAGACTAACAAACAAAACTCTAGTAATGAAACCACCAAAAATGACAAAAGTAGCTATAGCACTAACAGCGATACTTGCTCTAGAAACGACGATGAAAACTCCAAGAGCGGAGTTACCAGTAATGGAGACAACATAATGGCAATTCCAGGAACAACGACACCAACACGACTCGCTACCCATAAATCTAAAAAAAAGGGTTAGTATAATGTGTACATGGGCTAAAACTAAAAAAAAAAAAAAAATTATTATAGAATTTAAATAAAAAATTTGATTAACGAACTTACTCGTTATTCCAATAGCGCAGTAATAGTTTGCATCTGTAATTATCATGATTCGGCGGATCGGCAGAATTGGCCTTTTTACAAAATCAGACTCTAAATATTAATTATAACAAATTAATAAATTATATGGATATCAGTTAGTATATTGGAGAATGACATATTTTATTAATGATTAATAAATGAATACTGTTATCAAAGGTCCAATTCCGCCAATCCACCGAAATGTATTAATTAATATAAAAAACCTACTCGCTATTACGGTGATGTATAGTATATGGAAAAGATGAGGTGAGACTTTTGTATAATTGGCAGTTTAAATCAATTTAATTTTACATTATTTATACAGTTTAAAGTACTTTTTAAAAAAATAAAGCTACGAAGAATAAACAAAAAAGAAGCATATAGAAAGTTTTATTAGGGCTGTAGGACTTCACTATTAAAAATAATCAAAATCCCTTTTTGTTTTAGAAAAGTTAGCATGGTAATAAATTCTATCTATAAAAAGTTGCTATTATGCTAACTTCTCTAAAACAAAAAGGGAATTTAATTATTTTTAATAGTGGAGTCCAGCTCTAATAAAACTTTCTATATGCTTCTTTTTTGTTTATTCTTCGTAGCTTTATTTTTTTAAAAAGTATTTTAAACTGTATAAAATAATGTAAAATTAAATTGATTTAAACTGCCAATCACATAAAAGTTTTCTTATGAATGAGTTACTAATACTAATGAAAAATTCTGGTATAGGACTCATCGCAATTCGGAGACATATAGTAAATAGATAAGAATAAGTTAGTTTGTATTGAAATTATAATTATATTTAACATGAGTTATAATGAAAAAAATTCTATTACCAAACTTACAGTATATATGTACGTAAATAATAGATAGATTGCATCTGATTGTATTAGAAGTTACTGTAGAAAATTCTGTACAATGGTTAAGGTATAGTTAGTTTGCATTAGAAGTATGTGATTTAAGAATTACGATGACAATTTGTTAAAGTACTTACACATTATTCAGATAACAAAGTATAAGCTGGTTTCATTGGATTTCTAATGTAATATAATGAAAAAAATTATGTTTTAGAACTTACTCGTAGATTTGTTAACAGTATGTACATGGAATTATTATAGTTTACACAATAAAAAATTCCAATACTATACATATTCAGTATTATTGTTTGTAGTGAAGAGTTAAGATTAATATGGAATTAGTGTAAAAAATTTTGTTGAAGAACTTACTTGCTATTTCAGCAATGTATAATATGTAGATAGAGCTGAGTTAATTGGTAGTGTAGTTCTCTGTGAGCTAATATAAAAAGTTCTAATATAGCACTTGCTAGTTTGCAATGGGATTTTTAAGTTAGTATCGAAAATTTTAAGTTGTTAAAGGTGAATTAGTTTGTATTTGAGTTATAGTAAAAAATTCTGTTACTGCGGAAAAATATAAAAACCTTTCAAGTCGCGTTTAAATCTATTTGGCTAACATGTCAAAGTATATTATTGCTGTATTGTTCATTACACATATCTATTAAAAAGTCAGCCAATAAGATTTATGGTTAGACAATTTAAAAAAATTATTTATACGGGTAATCTAAACGTTATCATTACACACAAATTTTTTTATTATATAGTTATAGATACATAACATGCATATATATTGTAACTTTTATTATAGCATAGTTTGTAATCATTACTTTATTCAAAATTATATACAGTATATATATATAATACAGTACTTTTATAAACCAATATATATATAGCTGAAATACGTTTGTATAGAACTTAACTGGAGTCTATTGTAGTATAAACATGGTACACTTTTTAATCACATCGTATTTGTGACAGTTTGGCATTTGTATACATATATACAACATGGTATTTACCAGTTACTACAGTACTGTTATACACAATAAGATAAGCAAAACTTAATTTTTATTCTTATTGATGAATATATTAATTGTTAGATGAATCGCTAAAACTAATATAAATTGCTAAAACTAATACGAATTACTAAAATTAATATGAATCGCTAATACTAATATAATAATTAATATACGAGCCAGTTACATCTACTTTAACTCGTACAAAAACCCATATAAAAACTAAAATTTTTACCAATAAAGCTATTTGATAAACACGAGAAAAATTTAAACGAAGCCAGAATGAATTATTATTGATAAGGTGAGACTGAAGGGATTCGGCTAATTCAATTGTATAAAGTAGCACTAACTAATAAGTTTCATAATTCACTAAATAATTTAATATATGCCTATAATTAATAATACGATAAATTTATAAAACTTATTGTTACTACTTACTTAAATCAAGATCATCATCATAGTAAAAGTCTTTATTATCATTCATCGGTAACCTTTCTTGATTAAAATATTGATCTATAGTTGATTGTTTCATTAAGTCCTTTTTTTTTATTTTAATAAACTTTTCAATAGTGCCAACTAACTTAATATGTTCACTTGCGCCTTCTTGTTGAAGTAAGTAAGTATGGATATTTTCCAAGCTTTTTAAGGCAGCATTTGGGCTTATAATTTCTTTTTCAATACTGCTATCTGCTGCTTCTTGATTTTCATTATTCTCATCATCAGTTCTTTTAAATATTTCAACAAGGTTTATAATAATTTGATCCTTATTGGGAACTTCATACACAATATTTTCATCAGGAATAGCTAAGTATTCTTCAATATGCATTGCATCAGAAAAATTAAGATCTCTGAGATTTCTAGAAAGCTCTTCAAGCAATGGTGTTTCAGTCAGTAGCTCATCAAGCAATGGTTCATCAAGTTCGTCAAGTTCATCAATTGGAAGAATGCGTGTATGGTGCCAGCAATTTTGAATTGTTTGGGGCATAACTTCATCTCAACCTAGAACAGTTTTGAATTTTACTCAATAACATAAGAATACCATATATAAATTTTAAACTTACCTTGAATAACATATCTAATTCCTTATAGAAGAATGTAATAAAGATAATGCTTAACTATGATTAGAAAACAAATAATTACAATATCAAAAGAAATAACCCTGTAAAATGTCCATTTTTAAATCTTGAGCATGTTTACCATCTTTAACTTGTTTTAACATCCATCTGAAATAATAGCGACAATAATTTCTTTTAAATAATATTATAATCTTAGCGTCCATAGGCTAGATTTTTGAGGTAGTATATGCAGGTAAAAAACAAACATCAACATTTTTAAGAAATATACCACCTATCTTGTAGCTTGAACATTGATCAAGAATTAATAATACATGTTGGTTTCCATATTTTTTTGATATCTGTAAATCAAAATCACATAACTATTCATGAAAAAGCATCAATAACATCCATGCTTTAGCACTGTTACGATATGTTATTTTTAGGTTTGAAATTCTAACATTTTTAAAACACCGTGGTTTGGCATACCTTCTAATAATCAAAGGCTTTAACTTATGTGATCCATTAGCATTTGCATATAGAGCAATAGTAATACATTCTTTATCTTTTTTACGTCCAGAAAGACGTTGAGTAGCTAATGAATGGTCAGGTTCTAATTGATAAAAAAGAGCAGTTTCATCCATGTTGTATATTTGCTCAAAAGGATAATTAGTACACTTATTTCGTAATAATAGAAGTTCTCTAATAATTGCATCATTATCAACTGATCCAACCTCATCATGCAATTTTTCACGGCCAATTCCATTACGTTCTTTGAACTTATGAAGCCAACCTGAAGAAAAATTTAATGTACTATCAGGAACTCCTAATCTACTAACAAGTAGCTTTGCTTTTTCAATTAGCATTAAATCACTTAAAACTGTTTTGTGTTGATAGGTTAACACAAATTCTTTAAGAGCCAATTCGAGTTCTGGAACAGTAACGGATCTATTTCTTTTTTTGTCTGGATTAATAATTTCACTAGTAAGTCTTTAATCTTTTGTCTGCAAGATTTGTGTTATAGTAGATTCATAAACTCTAACACCCCACTTTTGTTCAATCCAATCTATATACTTTGTACGAGTCATCTTATTTTCATAAGCATAAAGACAAAATTCACGTTTTTGAGCATTACTTAGTGTAGTTTTTAATTTCGAAGACATTTTAAAATGAAATAGTATAAAAAATTACAAAAGGATACAGTACGAAGTTTATTCACTAAACTTTAAAGCTTTAAAGATAAACAAAAAAGAATTTTTAACTATTAATATTCAAGATATATAATCTTTACAGTATAAACATTCTATTACATTCTATCTTATCTACGAATTTAACAAAGAATTTTAGATTCTCATAATAATTGGGGCTTGATAGCTTTGAAAGGAAGTTCTTATTAATCTTTTATTTTTTTGTTTATACAATTTGACTTTGTTCATACTAATAGTTCTTATCTATTCTTTTCAGTGTGAATTCGAAGACTTTTGAGATCTATTTTTGATTTTCACACATCCTTGAGTATAGCCCCATACCTATTTTGGCATTATTAATTTCTCTGCACTTAAAATTTGTACGCAACTATGAACTTTATTAATTTACTTTTAGAGTTAGTGGCTTTAGATCGAATATGAAATTAAAAATGGTGTTACGGGTTAATGCAAGTGTTTTTATTACTCAAATGAAGTTTCTTTATTAAGGATTTAATTTATTACAAGTGAAACTTATCTAAACTATCTAACCAATCTATTATTACAATTGCTTTGCTTCTAAATACATACTTTGGGTCACATTACTTATATTATAATTCGTTCATATACGATCATACGATCATTTGACTCTTATAGTACCAATAAATTATCTCATCTTTCATATATACTACTTAAATTGCATAATTGATCATTAACTGATCTCATAATTTCCAATCGATCATATGCATCACGTGCACAAGTCGTTAACCGATCGATTGCTTATTTCTTGTATTCATACTTGTTTATCGCATACTATATTTCACCATGACAATGGTATTAGAAGCACTAGTAAGTGTGCATTTTATTAATCAATCTAATTAAAATTTTCTGACTCTGTAATTTTATTCAATTCAAATTTTTTTTTGAACTTCGATATTTACTATTACTCGTGATTGAACTGACAAGACCCAATTCAAAAAAATCCATAATAAATTCATGTTAAAGAGACTACATGTAGAATTTACTAAGTGATTATGTATTAACATTAGTATTATTTCTAGTCTAAACCAATCTATGAGCGAATATATTAAAATGTATCATTCCTACACTATTCAATAATACATAATAAATAAATAACTTTTATTAAATTAAAATATAGCATTAGATTTTTTTATTTGTGTGGCTTTGCAGACTTAGCTCACTTTTATTAAAAGTATTAGCGTTAAAGTTTATACATATATATACTAACTAAAAAGGCTTTAGTTCTAATTAATAATAATAATATAATCATATATGCATAAGTTGCTTAAAATATTAAATCATGTGGAAGCACATTTATGGGTATTTATTTATATAGCAGGGCAAAATATTTTTATGCACGTGCAGAATATAGAAGGTGCACTTAATATTAAGTCCCAAGCATGGAACCAGATCTTGGTATGCATATAAGGAGGGAGTGCACTTATAGAAAGTGCATTTAGAGAGGTTTATATATACTAAGTCAGTAATCAAGTAAGTCTTATCTGTAATAATTAGATAGTTATAAATATATATATATATATATTTGTAACCACAATACCTTAGAGTATTAATAAACAGTAAAGACAAGACTGCTGAATTAAAAAAAAAACTAGTAGTGATCATTACTAGAGTGATCATATCTCAAAAACATACTAAATAAATAAGATTAAATTTTCTAAGTAAAAATATTCAGAACCTCTAAAAACTATATAAAAACTAAAATCAGGTTCTATCAGGCTCTTTTTTATAGTAGCTCTATATTATATTATATAAAAAAACAATTTTTTAATTTCTAAATATAGGGAATGGCTAAAGCCAGGTATGTTTATATGTTTTTGATTATTTAATTAAAATTAGGGTAAGGGTTAGTTAAAGGTTAGGGTTAGAGGAATTCTTATAAGTAAAATTGTCTTTCTGTCATTTTTTATTAGTGCTTCAAAACAGGTTTAGACACTCATTTCTTGTATTTTTGATATTTTTCACTTTTTTTCTTTGTTTCTGTCTTGTTAGGCTAATCCGGATTAATCAAATTTTATATTTTGATTAGCTATTAGTCACATGAATACACCTGGCTTTAAACAGACCCTAAATATATTTAGAGTGGTGATAGGTTATTTTGATTATATTTCTATTAAAAAAAATTTAAAAAAATTTAAAAAAGTTAAAAAAATTAAAAAAAATTAAAAAAAAAATAAAATAAAAAATAAGAAAAAATAAAAAAATAAAAAAATAAAAAAATATAATAAAAATAAAAAAATAAAAAAAAATTAAAAAATAAAAATAAAAAAAATAAAAAAAATAAAAAAACAAACAAAATATAAAAAATAAAAAATTAAATAAAAATAAATAAAAATAAAAAAAAATAAAAAAAATAAACAAAATATAAAAAATTAAAAATTAAATAAAAATAAATAAAAATAAAAAAATAAAAAAAAATAAAAAAATAGGTTTATTTTGTATAAGATTTTTGTTTCAGTAATATAGTGTTATAGTAGATACAGTAGTCTTGCCAAGTTTGTCTTTTGGAAGGAGTATTAAAATCTCAAATATTATATATAGCTATAATAAGATGCAGATTATAGTCATTAGTTGAAATATATTGTTGTGAGTTATTTAATGAATATAAGGTAGAAGTGAGTATTTGTAAAAATGTAGATAAATTAAAAAAGAGAGAATTGTTAATAAAAGTTGGTAGATAAGAGTTATTATCTGTAGTTTGTATACAGGATTTGAGAGAGACATATCTAAACTAGCAAAGTAAGTTTTGAAAAAAAGAGAAAGTAGTTGAAAGTGAGCAAGTTTCATTAAGTAGATAAATATGTACTTCCTGATAGTTGTTATCTTTATCTTTTGTATTAAGAATAGAAATTTTAATATAACTGATAATAAGATAAATAATATAAAGAATATTCATTTGGGATATATAGTAAAAAAGTGTAAATTCAATTAGAATCAACTTTTTCTGACAATCACTTGAACTAAAATTTTCTACAAAAAAAAGTCAAGTTTGAATACTAGAGAGTAGAATAGTATCTGTAGTGGGTAGACAAAAGTGTGGTTTTTATAAAGGTCAACCCTTTATGCTTTTGCAGAGACTTCTTTATATATTCGACATGCAAGCCGAAAGCATTTTTATACAAGATAACTGGCTAGAGAAGTGTGCTCTTATATATATAATTTTGGTGGAATTATAGTTTTTCTCCATCGACGAAGCAATCTGTTGTGAAATAACTGGAGAACAGTGAAGAACTTGCTATTCTTAAACTGCACTCTTTTATTTGACCAAGTAATTTCTCTCTTACTTATATCTGCTCTCCTGCTGGCCTTCCAAAATTTTTTACAAAAAGTGGGAAATTTGGCTTACTCTCTCCAAAAGATTGGCATTATTTACTCTCCAAATTCAGATGGATTAGTGAAATACAACTGTGTGTTTGTTTACAGACGAATATAGTGCTACTTCATAGAACTTAGCCTAGGAACTCTAATTATAGCAGCAGGTGGCTTGAGACACAGGTCCTTGAACAACAGCAACATCTGGCTTGATATATGAATTAGGATGGGCAACAAAGCTAACTGGAGTTGGTAGGAAGGTCAAAAAGTAAATTTTAACATTAAGGCAAAGCTTTACAATAGAGATATACAAATGTTGTATTTGTTATATAATTTTTATCAGCCAAGCATGGGTTATAATAGTACCTTCAGAGTTTTAGATTTCTTTTCATGTTTTTCTTTTTTACAATTAGTGTTTCTTTTTTCTTTTCTGTTTTTTCTTTTTCTGGTTGTTTTTATATTTTTCTTTTAAAAATTTTCCCTTTTGTCTTGTGCCCCTTGAGAAGAAGAAAGAATTAGAAGAAAAAAAAGAGATCCTGATGTGATATATAACAGCCTGTCAATGATTGAGTGTGTATTATTTTGAGGATCAAAATCTGAAGTAAGTTTTGGATTCTGAGTAAGACTAATAGTTGTTATAGCAGGTTGCATTGGGTTTAACCTGGTGAGTTTTTATTGAGTTAAAGCTACAAGTTGTAATAATTTAGTATATTTGTGTATATGGATTATATAACAGCTTACATAAATAAAGGCAGGATTGCTTAAACATAAAAAAAAAAAAAAAAAAAAGTGTAAATTGTTTGTAGGTGTTTAAATGGAGGTAGTTTATAATAAAAAAAATTTGTTGTAATATACAAGACTTTAATATATAGCATTTAATTGATATTTATTATTTGTATTTAACAATAAAAATCAATAAACCTGCTATTACTTGATATATATCACTAGATATATATCGATAAAGATATAGTTATCAATTATTATCAAATTTAGTTAAACGTTAATTTTTAATTGTTTGTTTTAAATTAATAATTATCTTATATAATTATATTATATATTACTATATTAAGCTTTGCTCAAATTATGTATTAAAAAACTTTTGCTTAAATTATTTTTTTATATAATTTACTAAATCTTTACTCAAATTTCAGAACCTTTATTTAGATTGCTTACTGAATCTTTGTTTAAATTTACTAACTCTTTGCTTACTTTATCTACACGTTGTATCTCTAATCATATTCTTTCTTCAATAACCACTCCTTTTACTGCATACTTGGAGACCCAACAGCTTTTGGAGAACCGATCGTGGGCGTGACATTAACTAATAAATCAAACTTGATGAAAATTTTTTTATTTCTATAACTACATAGAATTAAAATAAAAATTGTTTATGAATATAATGAGCATTAAGCTATCCATAAGTTCATAATATTTACTATTTATATGCATGAATATGATAATTTGAGCATTTAAATTCAGATATCTGAGTTGATGAATATTTTTATCACTTAAGTTCATGCTCATGAGAATAAGAACATTCATTAATCTGAGTATTCAGATTCACAAAAATTTACTATGGCGGTGAAAATATGGCAATGCGCATTATATACACAGACACAATTAAGAATCAATTTCTTATCAAAATCCCTATTTACGTAATTCAAACTGAAAAGGTTGGACTTTTAACGACTCTAATTTTACCCCGTGCTCTACGTCACGGGTTCTTGTTAGTACGTATATATAAATTATGAATAAGATTTTTTTAATACCATAAATTCTCAAAATAGTGAGCATTTGCGCACTATTTTGGGTATGTTCATGGGCGTTATTTTGAAAATAGGTTAATTTTTTTTTTTTTTTTTGAACAACGTATTATATTATCAATTGGCTTTGATACAAGTCACTCTCGTTATAGTAAAGTAATCAGACTGTAAGATTTTCTTCACTATGTCGAGAGGCTTATATAAATAGATCTTCACTATAATAGATGGTTCACTATAACGAGAGTTCACTATAACAAGAGTTACTACTGTATAAGAGAGTTAACTATAACGAGAGTGCCTTGTATTACTGTATTAAGTATAAGGGTGCATGTTATTTTTTAGACGCACATGAGCGTTATTTTGAAATCGCCTTTACTATTTTTAGGGGATACAATTTTCAAATAACACCCATGCCCACTATTTCGAGAATTTACGGGATACAAATAAATATTTATAAATAATTACTAAGTACATAAGATGCTTTATATTTATTAAAGTTTTATTCATTAGATTGAAAACAAGTCTATTGGACAAAAATACAAAAATATTTAATAAAAATACTTCGATATTTCATAAGAAAATACAGGTAATATATCATGTTATTAGGCTTAATATCTATTATTGAAGAAAACAATAAAAACTACTCTATAAATAAAAATATCTCATTTGTTCAAATATTACACCAAATAAAATGACATTTGAACTTTAAACCTTCAGAAAATTAAAATTAGACGTAGGCGACGTATACACAGTCCAACTGTCTAAGGATTTTCTAGACGTGGGTCTTTCTGGTTTGTAAGATGAAAGGTATACCAGATAAGGGGCTAAACAGTCATAAGAATCGCCATATTCAACAATTTTAACTTTTTTCTTAACATATTGCAGAGTAATTTTTTGTTCTTCGTGATTTGATAACTCTGAGAAGTCATCTTCATTAGGAAAGTCAGTACCTCTTTTCACAAGCCAATAGTGACGGGGGTGGCTATTTGTATTTTTCATATAAGCCAAATCTCTAAATACATAAGCCATATGCCAGTCCGTCCAACCATCTGCACTAACACCAATAAATACTAAAGATCGTTTCTTTTCCAGAATTAATTTTTTCATAAATTTAACAAATAAGTTTGTAGTCTTTTTATATTCATCTTCAGATATAACAAAGGAACCTTTATCATAATAAAGACCATGAACATGAATAACAAAACGATTATGAAGGTTAGAATCTCTTGCAATATCATCTGGAATTAATAAATTTAATTGATTTGTGTCAGCTAAATCTTCCATGTAATTCAATGCATTACGAAATAATGCACTTTCCAAGAATGTATCGTAGTTGGAAGTTAGGAGTACATTATTTTTGCATATGATATTTAAAGCCTTGACCAAAGGTGCATGTTGATCTGACTAATAGTAAAAATATTTAAGTATAAAATTGATCAGAAAAGGATATTTTTTATATTATTTACCTTTAGTGGACTAAGCACAAGTTCAGTAAGATGTCTAAAAGTTTTATTCAAATTATCGTTATTTACAGATATCACACCAGCTAACGATAATTGAAAATCTTTAATAAACTCTTTGGTATATTCGCTTTTCTCGGTACTGCCTGAAAAAAAAGTTAATATATCTTTTCTAAATAGGCCGTTCATGGTATATTTAAAAAGACACCTACCAGAAAACTTTTCAAATAATGTTTTTAATTCAGTATAATGATTTTTAAAATGTTTCAGTTTTTCTTTTGCCTCTTCATTTTTACAATCAATAATATTTTGCTCCAATTCGTCAATCCTATGTTTGACTGACATGGAACCTCGTTGCCACAGATTATCGCATGGAATATCTTGAAAGAAAGAAAAATTATAAATTTTTAAAATATAACCACAATATGCATGACTCCAGGTATAATACTTACAGCCTAAACTCTCATTCGTTTTATTAATAAGTTGTTTAAGGAGTTCTGTTGATTTTGTAATTGCATTACATTTTCCCCACGGAATCAATGCGACATTTTTTATAAGATCGAGGAAATCATTCTCCATTTTATTTTCTTCTGTAATAAATTTTTTTTTAAAAGAAAAACTTTATTACAACTGTCCCAGTTTTAATAATTACTTACTTTGAGGAAATGCATTGTAAACTCTATCAATAATAAATTTAATTCTTTGAATTTCAATGTTAATTTCAGAGACCAGTCTTTTTTTATCGTCAGTATTTTGGATGAATAACTCGTTTTGTAAAAATTCTTTTCTGTCAAAAATAGCATCTTCAACAGCTATAAATGCAGCAGACGATTTGTCTTTATTTTCTTTAAATAGTTGAGTAATTTTTACGTCAATGTAACATCCGAATCCAAACAAGCTGTCAATATCCTCAAAGAGAATTTGTGATGACGAATATGTTCTGAAAAATTGTGTAGCCACAGCACGAACTTTTTTTATATGACATATATAATATTAATTAATATAAGACTAAGTGTTTAAAGATAGAATAGTAAAGTACAAAACGTACGAAACCCAGCCCAACTTCCGACTGTTGACCTTATAGTTTTGGCATTTGCTTCGGAGATAATTGGATCGATGTGGATAATAGCAGAAGCTACTCCAGCACCTGTAAAAATACAGCATTTCCCATCTCTCAAATCCATTGCAAGTTCTTTTTCTTGTGGTTTAAATTCTGGTTTCGAAGGCATTTTTGTACTAAAGGGCATTTATAAGAGGGCTCTATATAGTGTATAACGATATAATGATCGTTTTTTAAAAGTTAGGATGCTTATCCTAACTGGTTAACCGATTAGTTAACAATCTTTTTTTTTTTTTTTTTAGAGTAACTAGGCGCTTGCAAAATTCAATGGAATTAAATGTAATAATATATTGCAATTTATATGTTGTAGGTGGATACGGAATATTTATAGAATTCGGACCACTTGAGTTGATTTTGGGTCTTAAAAAAGCTTAAGTGGACAAGCAAAATAAATTTGATACAAGAGAGTATCATATGATATTCCTGATGTCTATTACTCTTAAATCAAGTTTTATCCTGTACGTACATACGTACGCAAGAAATCTAAAAACCATAATTATCCCATAGAGCGATAGAGACAATGACGAAAATTGTACTACAGTACCTGAAAATAACATGCATAGATGATGATCGGTCTTTTTTTTAGGTAGGGTATGGCACTTAAGAGTTGCTTATATAAAAATTCCAGAAAAGTATATTTATTCTTGAAATTTATTGAAATAGATTACTTATCGAATTAACTGCCTACCAATAAAAAAAAACGATTTTAGGAAAAATGCTGTTTTTTTTTACATTTGGGGATATTATGTGTTCGTATTATATTGCTCAGAATACTACCCTAGAGTTAGAATCTAAGCACATTTTACAAACCGGATAAATCCGGATTAATCCGGATCTATTATATAATATAATCCAATTTACAATCCAGATTTAATCTTATAGAAATCATAGCTATATGTGTTACAAGCGAAAATATAATTTATGTTGATTTGGAATTATTGGAGCTAGAGTTAGACAAGGATTAGATTTTTAGGTGTAGTTATTATATTTAATTTTAATTTCATTCCTAATTGCAACATACTGTACAGTGAAACTCTTTTTTTTTTTTATATATAAAACACGAATTGGCGTACTTTAGAGAGAATTTATGCTTCTAGGTTTAAAAACTGAGCCAAATTTTTCTTCATTTTGCTCTTACGGGATGAAACCTCTTAAGTGCACCCTCTTTAAGTCACTCTCTATAAGTGTACACCTCTCTCTTTGTACATTCAATTTTTGACCCAAATATATACATGTCCTCTATAAATGCACTTCTTATTGTTCTCTAAGTGCATGCGGTTAAAATATGGTCCTGAGTGCATGCACTTAGAGAGGTTTCACTGTATATCCGGATTTATTTAAAATTCGGATTAATCCGGACATAAATATAAATCCGGATTCACCTACAAGTTTGAATGATATTTCTCAAATAGGTAATATGATAAAGCAGTACATTATGAGTAAAAAATTTTTGAATGATATTAACGTTAATGTAGTATCTCTCTGATAAGTAAGTTGTAAAGCAATACAATATCAATACGATTGTACAAGATTAATGACAAGATTAATTATTGTAATGAAAAGGAATTTGACACTACTACCTCAATATTACCCAAATGAGGAAATATATAATAAAATTAGAAGAATTTTAATACTGGCAATATCGACTTTTTTTATATCTTATGGTTTTGCAATTAGAACCAAAAAAAAATTTTTTATGATTCGTCTAAGTAAGATAAATCGAATGGTACCCACCCGCATCATAATACACTTTCCCTTATCTTTTGAAATATGTAAATGTTTGGTACGTTTTGGTGCAAATCAACATCAAAATTAATGTGTCAAGGCAAAAAGAATAAAGACAAATAATTTCGCATCATTAGATTTATTATTTAACAGACTCATTTTCTTTCTAATTGATAAAGAAATCGGTACTATAGTTTGTCGAAAATTTTACCGTTACATTTTTTTACTACTGTAACGATTAATTTTTCCTGTGTCTTCTCACTTCCGTATTTGTCTAATTCTTTAAGTCGTCACTTACCTTCCATAATTGTACCATCATAGTCATATTAATCTTACGTACGTACCTTAGTAGTATTAGGCATTATTACGTATTCTTGTGGCTTAATTCCTGCAGGTGCGTCGATGCTAAAAAAATAGTGTCAACGCTAAAATTATAGCGTCTATGCTAAAAATCATATGATCACGTTCTAAAAAATCAACATGTATATAAATGCTTGCTCTCGCCCTTTGATAAAGAACATTCGCTTTCAAAATTCCTCTATAAATAAAGTTCATATAAATTCTCATTCTTTTTATAATAAATTCCTAATAAATCATGAATATCCGAATACCATAATTTATTACCAAATCATGTGGCCCTTCTAACGTCAGCCATCGGAGTTAAACTCAGTATATAATACCAAGCTCTCCCTCCCTCTCTCTTACGATGGTTACAATAGCAAAACAATTCACAAAACAAAAACATAGATATTTACTCACCATTATGTCTAAATTATTCATTTACATTAATTTAGCCGGTAAAAATCACGAACATTTAGTAATGGATAGAACTAAGACGGCAAGTTCACAAAAAAACAAATACGTAGATACTTATCATTACGTCCAAATAATTTCATTCGTACTAAATTTAGCTGGTAAGAATCAAGGACATTTATTAATAGATAGAATTATGAACAGCAAAACAAGTTCACAAAACAAAAACATAGATACTTACCATTATGTCTAACTAATTTAATTCACACTAATTTAGCCGGTATGTATCAAGAAAATTTATTAACGAATAGAACTAAAATAGCAAACAAGTTCACAAAATAAGAACATAAATTCTTACTTATCTAATTTAGCAAGAATAAAGAATATTTGTTATTAATAATAGACTTAAGAATGGCAAAAAAAAAAGCCCACAAAACAAGAAATAGATACTTACCATTATGTCTTTGGGTGGTTATATCTATAAAGTTTAAATGATCTTTTTTGTAAAATTAATAGTGAAGTGAATACATATTCGAATGATGAACACTTAAATGTAAATTGAATTGATTTTTTATTTGTTTCTTTTTTTGTTTCTTGAATCCAGTAAATTTAAAATATTCATACAATTAAATGGGTTTACCATAAAATTCCGGAAGACAGATTCCCGAAAGGACCTGATACCGACAAAGGTAGCCAGCATTAGTTACGATGTTGGCCAATTTAGTCGGTATTATGTTCTTTCGGGAAAATGATTTTTGGGATTTTGTGGTAGAGCCCAATTAAATAATAGTAAAAATTCAGAATTGGATTATAAATTGAATAGTAAACATACTTACATAAACCTGATTTAGTAAGCCACAGACGGCATTCAATTGTTGTTGCAGTGCTACATCCAGATATTGAGATGAAGCTTAATTCTTTAACATGCTATAATGTGTGTATTCTGATCTGACAAGAACCAAGCATCATTATATTTAAGACCTCTGTTTTCCTTTAAGCTCACAGTAAATTGATTAACTAAAAACATGAAAATTGTACGCTATATGGCGTCCTGCGGCAAGTATGCCGAGGGTTTTTTTTTAAAAAAAAACACAGAAATAATGAGTATGGTAATTTATAGCATTTCAATATTCTGATAAGAAAAAATAAATTTATTAGACGAAGATTTTTTAATTGCCGTTACTGGTTAGTAGACGTTAAAAAATAGCCGATAAAGTATATCTACAGGTGTGCTATCATTTATATTTAATTAATACAAGGGTTTATTTATGTAATTGTTTAAATAACAATTACATGAGACGTATATATAAATCGGGGATCATCGATCATTGTTCTAAACTAATTGGGTTTTCAGGTTTTCGGGTTTTCGCATAAAAAAAATATTTTTTATAAATCTTGCTATTCTCAACCATTTCGAAAACCGCGATAAACCAACTTTTTAGCTAACAATATATTTGGGCCCTTATTTGTAATAATTTTCAAAAATCGGGCCTCTATTTGTAATTTCCCTTATTATATTACATTCAGAATTATGCATTTACTAGATTGTGATTCTTCAGGGACAAATTTTTCGTTTCAGGATTTAGCTTTCGGGTAAATGGAATATTGTTCTTTCGGGATTTTATGTTTGAAGTATCAAGATCTAAAACCATCGAGATTTAGTTTTTCGGGATTTCATACCAAATTCATAAATAATAATAAATTTATTACCGGACAGACCATTTATCAAGAGCTTTTAGCCAATGCCACTTTTAACTATTTCTAACTGGGATCTGCCTTTATTTTTCTTAGTAAGATGAAAATCATGAGTTGTTGCTGGGTGTGTTATTTATGTCTGTCGGACTAAAACTGATAATTGATTTAAAAGGTTTGATATCAGAAAATTCTAAATGGCATGCCCATGACCCAATTAGATTATTTAAATTCGTTACTTACTAATTTATCATCTAAATTAGCCTTTTAAAGAATATCTACATTGTTATAAATGGCTAACCAATTTTTAATTAATCTCTTAGTCTGAAATATGCTTTAAAAGAG